TGCTTGATGCTGTTAAGGGAATAAATCCAACATCGGTTAAATACCGAAATATTGATTAACTTAAATAGATCTTGGGTCACTCTTCTTAACAAGGTTGACCTCATTAAGATGGACCCCAAATTTTAACATGGTATCAGAGCCCAGTAAGCTCTAACGAGTTATTCGATCCGATTAAGTCTCAAAAATGAGCACACGGATTTCAAGATTGGTCTGCTCAAAAAGAGTCACCATCTTGTGGGGCATGTTAAGGGAATAAATCCCACATCTGTTAAATACCGAAATATTAATTAACTTAAATAGATCTTGGACCACTCCTCTTAACAAGGTTGACCTCATTAAGATGAACCCCAAATCTTAACAGATGCATCAACTCTTAAAAGAATTTGTCTCTACTTGTTTTACACCCCTAAACTGGGATGATTGCAATAAATTATTTCTTCCACGTGTTTGAAGTGTTTATAAACGGTTTAAATTATAAATAAATAAAAATGAGTGGTGGATAAGTCGGTACTGCTTGTAGGTTCTTCGAAATGTGTGGATAAAAAATGGATTGAGTGATTATAAACTATTTATAAATATGAGCCAAACATAGGCTAAATCCGAAAGGTTCACTATAAGGCGTAGTACTAGATGACCAAAAGGGTACTGGAGCAGGTCAGAAATTACTTTCGCTTTATAGCTTTATGGAAATAATGAAATATACACAAGATTTATAAGAATTTTTGAACTCCTGGTATGGATAAAATGTGGTTTCCAGCTTTAGAAATCTTGCTTTCATTATAGTCGACTTCATATTTAGTCAAAAGTAGAGTAAGATCTTGAAAGCTCCTTTCTCAAGACAATGATGCAATGGAGTTCATCAAACATAAAATGAGGTCCCCAGGTCCTGTCAAAGTAATTAGATAAATTCGTTATCTCAGTAATAAGAAAGTTGCAAGACAGCAGGTTCCTTGTCTTTTTTAGGGACCTGATGTTATTTGGTTTGGTGATTGTTCTGTTACAAGGCTGACAGTTGATCTTCAAAACCCTCTATCCCAAGACAATGGTACGTCGGATTTTTCATCAAATATGAAACGAAGTTCCCTGGTCCAGTCAAAGTTATTAGATAAATTCGTTATCTGACAGTAATAAGAAAATTGTAAGACGGTTCCTTTTCGATTCCATTTAGGGGCTTGATGTTATCCGATCAGGTGATTTTATTATTACAAGGTTGACAGATGTATATCTTTGTTCTGGTGACCATTTTTGCATTTCAGAAAAGAAGAAGCCAGTAATTCACTAGTGTTCTCAACTGAGATTTTATAAAATATTATTTTATGTTAAAAAATAAATTTCTTCTAATTGACCATTTATTCAATAGGTCTTATATGTGTATATTCACTTATTTATGAGTCTAAGATCAAGAAATGTAACAATTCTCTTGATTAGCTTGTGTATGTAAGCCAACAATGGCAAAAGAAAACAGTCCCCATAAGTATTAATCCTCGTATCATGTTAATATTGGTAATTATTCATTTTTAGCTTCTTATGAGGGAAATATGAATTTAATATACTAATGCATGCCGTGAATTGAACATATAAAAGGATCATGGGCCAGGAGTAGAAAAGTATCGCGAGATGCATCATTTTCAATCACAGTGGCAGGTATTTCCATTTTATACTCTGGATTGGAAAATGGCAAAGCAAAGTAAAAATGATGAAATGAGCGACTAATACAAGGCCACTAGCATATGATTTTCATTTTTTCATCTGAAAATACAGTGATTATAGTTCATTAAAAATTATGTTTGGATGATCAAAACATTGCAGAATGCGATTCACTTAACCGAGTGTCGAAGGGCAAACTTCTCCTTTTCAAACAGTGTTACTCTAAATATTCATGATTCATGAGAAAAGCTAATTGCAGATTCCAATTGGCATCCTCTCATCCGGTGTCTCCAAAATCATTTTGTAAACAGTGACATGCCCAAATTCATTATGGATTCTTAAGAAGACTGTCATGGCCTTCCACGTCTGCATTTGCTTAGTAAGTACGGACATATCTTAATATGTCTCCAGTCTCCTGTTCCTCTCTATTCGTCTTTCTTCTGGAGTTTGTGTTTTATGTCTCAGGTTAGACCCTGGTGGCCCTGGATCTTGCTTGAAAAGGTATTCAGATCCAACTTTCTTTAAAAGAGATTCAGCAAGGGATGGTGAAGCACGTACTGATAAAAGTTCCCAAAGATAAAAAGGGTCGCAGAATCCTGGTATGCTTGATGCTGTTAAGGGAATAAATCCAACATCGGTTAAATACCGAAATATTGATTAACTTAAATAGATCTTGGGTCACTCTTCTTAACAAGGTTGACCTCATTAAGATGGACCCCAAATTTTAACATGGTATCAGAGCCCAGTAAGCTCTAACGAGTTATTCGATCCGATTAAATCTCAAAAATGAGCACACGGATTTCAAGATTGGTCTGCTCAAAAAGAGTCACCATCTTGCGGGGCATGTTAAGGGAATAAATCCCACATCTGTTAAATACCGAAATATTAATTAACTTAAATAGATCTTGGACCACTCCTCTTAACAAGGTTGACCTCATTAAGATGAACCCCAAATCTTAACAGATGCATCAACTCTTAAAAGAATTTGTCTCTACTTGTTTTACACCCCTAAACTGGGATGATTGCAATAAATTATTTCTTCCACGTGTTTGAAGTGTTTATAAACGGTTTAAATTATAAATAAATAAAAATGAGTGGTGGATAAGTCGGTACTGCTTGTAGGTTCTTCGAAATGTGTGGATAAAAAATGGATTGAGTGATTATAAACTATTTATAAATATGAGCCAAACATAGGCTAAATCCGAAAGGTTCACTATAAGGCGTAGTACTAGATGACCAAAAGGGTACTGGAGCAGGTCAGAAATTACTTTCGCTTTATAGCTTTATGGAAATAATGAAATATACACAAGATTTATAAGAATTTTTGAACTCCTGGTATGGATAAAATGTGGTTTCCAGCTTTAGAAATCTTGCTTTCATTATAGTCGACTTCATATTTAGTCAAAAGTAGAGTAAGATCTTGAAAGCTCCTTTCTCAAGACAATGATGCAATGGAGTTCATCAAACATAAAATGAGGTCCCCAGGTCCTGTCAAAGTAATTAGATAAATTCGTTATCTCAGTAATAAGAAAGTTGCAAGACAGCAGGTTCCTTGTCTTTTTTAGGGACCTGATGTTATTTGGTTTGGTGATTGTTCTGTTACAAGGCTGACAGTTGATCTTCAAAACCCTCTATCCCAAGACAATGGTACGTCGGAGTTTTTCATCAAATATGAAACGAAGTTCCCTGGTCCAGTCAAAGTTATTAGATAAATTCGTTATCTGACAGTAATAAGAAAATTGTAAGACGGTTCCTTTTCGATTCCATTTAGGGGCTTGATGTTATCCGATCAGGTGATTTTATTATTACAAGGTTGACAGATGTATATCTTTGTTCTGGTGACCATTTTTGCATTTCAGAAAAGAAGAAGCCAGTAATTCACTAGTGTTCTCAACTGAGATTTTATAAAATATTATTTTATGTTAAAAAATAAATTTCTTCTAATTGACCATTTATTCAATAGGTCTTATATGTGTATATTCACTTATTTATGAGTCTAAGATCAAGAAATGTAACAATTCTCTTGATTAGCTTGTGTATGTAAGCCAACAATGGCAAAAGAAAACAGTCCCCATAAGTATTAATCCTCGTATCATGTTAATATTGGTAATTATTCATTTTTAGCTTCTTATGAGGGAAATATGAATTTAATATACTAATGCATGCCGTGAATTGAACATATAAAAGGATCATGGGCCAGGAGTAGAAAAGTATCGCGAGATGCATCATTTTCAATCACAGTGGCAGGTATTTCCATTTTATACTCTGGATTGGAAAATGGCAAAGCAAAGTAAAAATGATGAAATGAGCGACTAATACAAGGCCACTAGCATATGATTTTCATTTTTTCATCTGAAAATACAGTGATTATAGTTCATTAAAAATTATGTTTGGATGATCAAAACATTGCAGAATGCGATTCACTTAACCGAGTGTCGAAGGGCAAACTTCTCCTTTTCAAACAGTGCCCACATTTTATGCTACATTAAAATCATATGTGGAGGAGCAGCCAAATTTAGATTCAAGAAATGGATCAGGCTACATGGAATGTGTTTTCCGTCCAACGTATTCCATGCAACTTGAAGAACGAGAATCTAAAGAGTCCTTTTCTTCTTCATTAAAAAAACTTGACTTATTCTCTTGATTATGAGTTTCTTGAGGAAAAGGGTGTTGATGCGGATGATGATAGTCAAGACTATTTATCAGCAGATCAAACTAGATGTAGTTTATTGTTTGGGTCTAATAGTTGTGGGATTCAATTACCCTTAAGCCCGGGCTTTTGGGAAAGATGGTTGGGTTCCCATCAATTGGTATCAGAGCAGACCTACGTCATAGGTTTGAATCCGGGAAGGGGCAACCCAAGCGAAGTGCCAAATACCAGCAGCTAAAGAAGGGCCGGCCGGGTAAAACCAAGGTTGTCTTGGAGTGGGCAGCCGTGGACGTCGGATTTGGGCCGTGGGGTATTGTTAAGGTCTAATAGTTGTGGGGTTCAACCACCCTTAAGCCTGGGCTTTGGGAGAGATGGTTGGGTTCCTATTATTCACCTTCTGTTACTTGGGATGAGAAGACAGATACGCTGGAGCGCCATAAATTTTGACCTAGATACCCATACAGGTGGAGCAGTTAGTTTTGGAACTGCTAGCCAAATGGAAGTCTAACTTTTTAACCATGATGTGCCAACGTCAAATTCTGGTGATATTCAAGTTAATGCTATTGACAGGGGTGGAGCAGTTAATTTTGGATTTGTAGACCAAATGGATATCCAAATTTTTAGTCACTATGTGCCAACGTCAAAGCCTGATAATATCCATCTTAATTATATTAATGGGGATGGAACACTTAATTTTGGATCTATAGACCAAATGGATGTCCAACATTATAATCACGATGTGCCAACAACAATGCCTGGTGATATCTAGATTGATGACCCAGAGAGAGATGAAGCAGTTAATTTCAGATCTGTAGACCAAATGGATGCCCAGCTTCATAATCACAATGTACCATCATCAAAGCCTTGTGATACACAGCTTGATGACATTGAAAGTGAAACAGATCATTATATGGACGCACTTAACGCCATTGAGTCAGAGCCCGAAACTGATGTAGACTGCTTGACAAAGCAAGTACTGGCACACTGCATTACAATAAATTGGATAATAAGCAAATAGACGATGGATCGTTTGGGATTGGAACGCGACCTATTAACTGTCACTCGTCGAATTTTGAATCCAATTTTATGGATAATGGTTCTCTGAACAATGATAGTTATGGATGTAATGCCATTTCAGTGTTTCCGGACACTCCTCCGGCTGCTTCTTGTTACACTGACGAAGTTACAAAAGAGGATAAATTTAACTCAATCTCCTCCAAGGATAATGCCCATTTACTAGCCCTTCAAATGACTAGCAAGTTTTTGGAAACAGGCTGTCCCCAAAATGTTGATTGCCCAAACACAGGAACTGTTTTAAGCGAATGATAATCATCTAACTTCATAGAGGATAATTGAGGAATGCCAATGAGCAGTCATGAGTCTCAGAAACCTCCACCAAAACCTTCAAATGTTACTTCAGTTAAGTTCTGGTCAAGTGGTGGCTTGCTAGGACTGGAGCCATCGAAGCCTCCAGATTTTAGTGTACTGAATGCTCTAGCTCAAGATCCTGTGGCCGAAAGAAATGCCAAAATTAGTACCCTTAGTCAGAGCAATAATTTTGGTGGTGATGGAGATAAATGGAAACCCAATAAATTGGAGAACTCAATGGCTGTCAAATGGGGCTCTGATATGGGTTGCTTCACATCTTGCCAAGATTATAAAGAAAATTATTTATCTCTAAGGGAGAGATCTTGCAAGGATTTGCCTGCTGATTTAAATGTCAAAGCTACCACAGCGTGGCAGGAGAATAGCCGAAGTGCAGCTTGGATGTTTGAAATTGGTAATAAAATAATTTTAAATGGACATAAAGAAAAACTGTCACTTGGCGGAGATGAAATTTCTGACCATGACAGCTACCTGAGAACAGTTGTGTTTGGGCATAAAAATCGTTAAAAGTTCGCATATCAAACATTCCCAGGGAAGACTAAAGACTTATTTGGTGGTAAATCTCCTTCTACGTTACCTTCTTCATCTCCACCACTTGAGCATTTGAATATATCTTTCCAGCCAATAGATGGCTTTGAGACTTCCAACCGGAAATTGAAGTTTCGTGATGGTAATAGTAGTTATTAAAGCAGCAAAGACACCCTTCCCTTGTTTCAGTTGGTCCCAGAACCATCCATTGCACAGTACAGTGTTGGTTTGGACTCAGATGATGATACATTCTATAGATCTCCTCCTTCTATGTCAGATGATCGTCTTAGCCATCACTCAGTAATGAATTCTGAGCAGTGGGAGTCTGGCAAATCTCCCAGTAGCAAGGACCATGATTTCTATGATGCTTTGCATAGAATCTCATTATCAGAGTCCGTTTCAACAATTCTAGAACATGGGACAGGCCAGGAAGAGATCCCTGAGAATTCCTTCATTGGAACCTATATTGTAACTAGCATTTGCTACTGCAGAGTAAACCCTCAGAATAATTTTTTGTTTTTGCAAACCAAAGGGAATGATGACCTTGGTTTGAATCGAAGAAGTACCAATAATAACTATAGGTATACAAAATAACCATTTTTTTCTAATTCCTATGACAGGGCTAATGATTGGAGTGAAGTCGTAACAAGATGGCCATACTGGAAGGTGCGGCTGGATCACTTACTTTTCAGGGAGAGCTAATGCTTGTTGGGTATTTTGTTTTGACACTGTTTCACACCCAAAACCCTTCAAAATTCATTTACTGAAAACGTTGCAGAAAATTCTCAGCTTTGCTAGTTGTTCGATCTTCCAAGTATTGACTCTATAAATCATTCAACCAAGGAAGAACAGAGAAATTATTTCCTTAAAAATGGTCTTCCAGAACTATAATTTGAACCTAGCCCTCCTCCTTCACCTCTCCCTCCGCTGCAGTGGTGGGCCATGAATCTATATTTAGATGATGTAGAGGATGGCACAGCTCATGGTATTCAAGCCCCTAACCATGCATTTGATCAAAAGGTTTTGGCATCTACAATCCCTCAGCAAACTAAGCCATCCCCCATTGATCAAGAGATCAAATTCTCTCTCTCATTTTTTTTTATTTTTTATTTATTATTTTTTTTTTTTTTTGAGAAGCTGATGGAACAAGATATGCAAACATTTTTTCAGACATAAATTTGTAACTGTTCATGTTCTTATATGCAGCATTCGGAATTACAGAAGCTAAATGAAGGAAGAGAAGCTAGTCAGGCCGTAAATGGCCAGAGTATGGATGAAAAGGACAACTTTGCATCAGATTCGGACAAAGTTGAGTTAGCATTTGCCATTAACTATTGCGATGTTTTATAGATTTCATTATCCTGGAGGCCTAGCGGTACTATGTCGTGCAGACAAGTATATGGAAAAAATGATAAATTTATAGATTATGAACCTTCTAAATGGATGTATCAGATTTAGATATACAATATCTGCAGTGGGGTTTTCTCATGAGTTGCGCATTTAGTCCAAGTACTTGCCTATAGAACCTCTAAAATATAGTCGAGAATTAGACAAAGATGCATATTGCTTTCTATTCATATCATATATTTGCGTGTTTCTTGTTGCCAATTGGTATCTTTTTCTCTGTAAAAATTTCTTGACATCTGCTACCTGGCGCAGATTGACTATAATATTGACTTATTTTATTTTATCGTAAGCATATTGTTTTCATGTCTTATTTCTTTGTATTTGTTATAGCTCTCGACTTTTGCAGTTTCTTATGGCTTTGCATAAATTTTTCTCTTCTTTTAATAAATATAAATATTGTTGAATGGTATGATGGCCCTCAACTGAGGCCATGTTTGTACGAACACTGCCTGCGTGCTTCATTTAATGAATTCGTCTAGCACTGACCCGCGCTTCCACTTTTGTTTTAGAATTAAGCTATTGTACCAGATGAATTTTGACATCCCGATTGACCTACACTCACATTGGTATGGGACCCCCGCCAACCTCATGAGAATAAAAAATGTGAAAAATGGCACCCTACCCACCTTGATTGTGAGTGTAGGTCAACCGGGGTGTCAAAATTCATTTGGCACCCCAGCATGATTGTTTGTTTTATAATTTCAGTCATTCAGTCTGAGGCCAACTGTGACATCAATACCGACCATCCCAACGGGGGCCCTTGCCAATGGCAAAGTCACTGCAATTTTGGAGAAGGAAATGCAATTAGCAGATTATTTCTCTCTTTCCCTCGACCATAAACAACAAACGGAGGAGAAAAAACTTGTTTATGCTCAATTTATATTAACTGAATTGCCTTCTACAGTACTCACTGTTATTTGTTACGTATTCAGATTGTTGGAAGTGACAATGGGGAAGATGATAATTGGAGCGACCCTTAAATTGTGTCCATCAAAATTCAATGCTGAGTGTTTTTTTATTTTGTTACTAACTAGGTGAGCTTCGATATATTTTGTGCATAGCCCTAGTTCCTCATAATTTTGTTCGCTTTGACAACGTTAACTTTATGTTAGAAACAATTAGGTGAAATTCGAGTTCTGCAATGTTGAGGCAGTTCTTTATGTGATGCTTGAGTGTACATGGCATTAGTTCAGGATTAAGCCAACTTTTTTTCACTGTGTAGAGATACTGGTTGTAATTGCACTTAAACGTAAAATTTACCCGACTATATATTTCTACAATAAGACTCTTCTTCAAATTTCCATGTTTTGCTTAGAAGCTTGATTCGAAAGTATTGTCTCTAGGATAGCACATTTCGTGCTTTGGATAAGACAGAATTGGATTAAGTAATAAGCAAATTTTGTGAAATAGCTACTCTTTTTAATCAAATCAACTGGTTGTAATTGCACTTAAACGTAAAATTTACCCGACTATATATTTCTACAATAAGACTCTTCTTCAAATTTCCATGTTTTGCTTAGAAGCTTGATTCGAAAGTATTGTCTCTAGGATAGCACATTTCGTGCTTTGGATAAGACAGAATTGGATTAAGTAATAAGCAAATTTTGTGAAATAGCTACTCTTTTTAATCAAATCAAATCAGATTCGATTCTATCTTATTGAACATGCATCATCCTTGTGTTCTGCAATGAAGTCTTTAAATTCCATTCTTACCAATAACAAAGATGCTTAGGGACCTTTTTTTCATGAAAAATTAAATAAATCAATATCTTATTTATTATGTCGTCTGTTCTATCGTGTATTGTTGTGCACTTGATGAGTACATCAATTATCACATTTTATACCATTTCCTGCGTGTAATTTACTAAGAAAAAATATGCTGCTACATCATTTGCTTCAGAGCAAGAATCAAGGAAATTACAGAGAATTTTATTGATAATAAAAGAAGCTTGCCAACTATTTCTTCGATTAAAAGTCATAAAAGTTTTCTTTCCAACTTGTAAAGTCCTAAAGTACCACTAAGTCCTTCCATGTTAGCTGAAAATTCATTGAAACACACATTTCACCTTTTGAATACAAAGGTCGACCTCTATAATAATATTCCGGAGTTACGAGTTATTAATTTTTTATTTATACGTTTCTAAAAGTTAAAAAAGCAAACCAAGAAAAAGGGTTTTTTTTCCAACCTTATGATTGAACATTTCCTTTATAAATCTGTTCTCTAATTGGCATAGACTCTTAAGTGGGCTAAAGAAAAAGTGCATTTGCCTTTCCATTTGCTAAAAGAACGGAAATGCTTGTTTGTCGAGATTGTATATGGGAAAAAAGGCGTTTGAACTTTGAAATTAAGGCAAGCCACTTTTTCTCTTAATCAAAAAAGACACTTTTATTAAAGTAATAATCCCACATATTTTTTGAAAGAGAAAGGTTTAAGGAATAGCATTACCATTAATTCCAAGCATCCTGCTCAAGGATCAATTCAATCTTTTTTTTTTTTTTTTAATCATTTTTCTTGTTGACATCAAAAAATGCGTCAATAGAACTTTAGTCACATCCACTTCGATGATCAAGTTAATGGCCAAACGAAAGATATTATGAATGCAAGAAACGGGATAAAGTGATTTGACTAGAGTTACATCATATTTCGATTGTGAATGGACTCACTAGGAGGCAAATCGGCCAAGTGAGTTAGTAGGCCGAACCTAAGCCTAGGCTCAAAAATAGATTACTTGATTAAATATGTCCAATACAATTATATAGTTGATGTCGAGTCGATCAATGTGGGACCCTTTTTGTCACGCGTATGCCACGTAATTTATAGATATGACAATTCTTATTAAAATATCTAACCTTATCCCTCGTGGTTTCAACTTCTTGACTAGTTGAAGATAAAAGTATAAAATTAAAAACTAGAATTCAACAACACAGAATATCTAACAATTGTTTTAAATACTTTATCATTCAAATAATGAATTCTAAATATTTTACTTAATTCACAGTTCACTCTTATTTTACAGTTGTGCTACATGTATATCACAACTTATAAATTGGTGTACATATATATAATGTGGTGATATATAATTATGTCAGAATTTTTTCAACCAAATAAAAACATAATTTTCACTCTCTTCTCGATGCCTCGTATATCTATAAAACTTTTTATAACTCCTTATATACACGTAACATTATTCATTATTTTAACATACTTTTTTTTTTCTTTCAAGATTTTTAATATTTCAAATGAATATTAGTTCTTTAAATTATCTCGAGTTCAAATTTTAGTTATTACCTTGATAAAATATCTCAAAATATTAATATTTTACATATTAGGTTAGGATAGACGTGCATTTTATAAACATTTTAACGTATATCTTCAATTAAGCTTCACTGTTACGAATTGAAAGCACGTGATCATGATGTGTCATCATAATCTTTTAAACTTTAAAAATATCACAAAAATAAAAAGTAATGGAGTCTGAATATTAAATAAATCTAGCCTTTTAGCTTTATCCCTTTATCTTTATGCTCATAATTTTCTTTACTTTGTGCTCGACGACTCGACCTACCTGGTCTAGACCCTCTACTATAATAGTAAATATAGAGAGAGTGGAATAAAGCCAAAACACCAAGTTTGCTCTTGGCGGCTCTCGTTATTTTAATATTTTAAATGGAATTTTACGTCCAAAGTCGGACCTTTTTCTGCACTTTTTGCCATCACTTTAATTTGTTCTTCAAGTACATGCATCAATAATGACACGTATCTATATCTGCATATTGTTTTCACTCCAAAAGGCTAATGGATTAGTTTGGAAGAGTAACTCATCAAATCTTCAAACGGTAATCTCTATGTCAATTGTTATCGAACCAAGAAGGATCATACAATCCATCATCGTTGAACGCTTTACTTGGACAAAACCAAATAGAGCCGACTACAATTTTTTTTACCCGCCAAGGAACCACCACCTTCTGTCGAACATCTTGTTCTTCCACGAAATTAGTGTGTATTGTCTTGACACCATTTCTTTGAATATGAAGTTTCAATCCAAAAGGAAAAGCCACTAAGAAGAGGAGTTGAGCGATCTTGTAAATTTAATATCATCCCATATCCACTCGATCTGGTACTTTTTTTCGTAACTTTTTCAATATATGTATGTACATGTATATTATGTGCATTCATGTGCATTAAACACCCATAGATTCTCTCCATCAACCATGCATTTTCATGTCCTAGCCATACGACGCCCTACCACCCCAACAATCCCGCCTCAGGATTAATATGCACCTTTTTGCTTCTTTTTATTTTGGGTACATATTCTCTCCTCTCTCACTCTACACACACACCCCAGAGAGAGAGAGAGAGAGAGAGATTATATATATGTATATAAGTATCAACCTCCTAGACCTCTCAATCAAACACACAGGCTCTCTCTCTCTCTCTCTCTCTCTCTCTCTCTCTCTCTCTCTCTCTCTCTCAATAAAAAAGATGCTTAGGGACCTTTTTTTCATGAAAAATTAAATAAATCAATATCTTATTTATTATGTCGTCTGTTCTATCGTGTATTGTTGTGCACTTGATGAGTACATCAATTATCACATTTTATACCATTTCCTGCGTGTAATTTACTAAGAAAAAATATGCTGCTACATCATTTGCTTCAGAGCAAGAATCAAGGAAATTACAGAGAATTTTATTGATAATAAAAGAAGCTTGCCAACTATTTCTTCGATTAAAAGTCATAAAAGTTTTCTTTCCAACTTGTAAAGTCCTAAAGTACCACTAAGTCCTTCCATGTTAGCTGAAAATTCATTGAAACACACATTTCACCTTTTGAATACAAAGGTCGACCTCTATAATATTATTCCGGAGTTACGAGTTATTAATTTTTTATTTATACGTTTCTAAAAGTTAAAAAAGCAAACCAAGAAAAAGGGTTTTTTTTCCAACCTTATGATTGAACATTTCCTTTATAAATCTGTTCTCTAATTGGCATAGACTCTTAAGTGGGCTAAAGAAAAAGTGCATTTGCCTTTCCATTTGCTAAAAGAACGGAAATGCTTGTTTGTCGAGATTGTATATGGGA